GCCCTGGAGTCTTTTCTCTGCACGCAAAGCTTTTTTCTGCCTCCTCTTTTTTCCTGAAGAGAGGTATTACATGTTTCATCACAGTTCTGCTGTGCTTGGACAGTGTGAGGTGAACATGGGGGCCAGGTAGGGTGGTACTGTTACTTTAGGGAAGTAAGGAAAGAGGAAAATTGGGGGGGGACAGGGAGGAGACAGATTGTTTCAGAGGCAGACTGTTGCTGTTGCCACTGTGGAGGAAAAAGGATAAAGTGATGATGTAGGTTGACAGCTGGTGATGGCCATGACTTCATTAGATGTCCTTGTTTAAGGCCAGCTTGTTTAAAGCATCAGCTCTGTGATAGGCTTGTCAGACAAGAGGATGTATTCTTCCAAAAGACTGGTCTCATATTTTTCTGGAAAAAATGTGGGGCTGGGTAGGAGCATTTTATAAGGCAATCAGCTTGGACCACTCAAAGTCATTGTGATGCAGGCAGTGAGATGTGGTAATCAGGTGAGACCATTCTTGCCTTAAAATGTTCATCTGTAAATGGAGTATCTCAGGGCCAGAATGCAACATCACCCACAAATACTCAACACCATAAGACACAGGGTTTTCATCCCCCTCACGTTATGTCTCTGCCTGCTTACCACCAGTAAACTTGGAACAAAGTTATGTTTCTGATGTGCTTGAGTTGCTCCTCTGTTTTTTAGTTTTGTGTCAACAGTACAGTGAATTGCAGGAACTGAAATAATCCGTGGAGTTGTTAGTGGCAATAGAAACTGCAAAAGTTAGACACGAGTTTGGCAAAGCATTGGTGGTCTTCCTTTATTAATTCTTTTGAGATGAGTCCTAGATTAGGCTACTTTTTGATATAAAAACCTTATGTCAGTGGTTGTCAGCCCTTCCAGTACGGCACTATGTGTTTAGGAACAGTTTCTGGTACAAGCTGTCTCTTTGTTTTCTGGCATGAATGCACTGTTCTGACTGCTTTCTCAGGGGCTTTGTTTTCTTACTGGCTTTTTTTCCTTCTTCTTTTCCAGAATATTTCTGTAGCAATAGGAAGATCTGTAGGAATACAGGGTTTGGGCCTGGATCAGTCTGGTTGACTGGATTTGTAAACCATATAATGCCTTTCTTTTCTGAACTTAAGCTCTTAAAATGAATTCTTCCCCTGGTTCCCACCATTTTTATAAGGGTTGTACCACAACCTTATTGTTCTGATTGTTAAATTGTTAGTTTATTCTTAGTTAGTTTATTCTTCTAACCCTATTCTTCCCAATTTCCAGTCTTGTCATATTCACATTTTCTTTACACACCTTTGTTCTTTTGCTAGTATTAACCTATTCCATATGCCTCATCTTCCCCACCCTGCACCCCAAACTTTATTTGAGCACGCTACCATTCAGGTACTACCTCAAGCTTTGTCATTTGCATACCCTCTTTCCATCATCTATTCTGCTTTTTATTCCATGATCATCATAAACTGCGTGTTTTGATACTGGTCAGAATATTTGTTAAGTTTTGGAGACATAGCAAGGTTGTCTTTAAACTCTGTTCTCACTGCATTAGCAACCCTGATTATCCTTTTCTTTGTTGTTTCTTGTTTGGTTTTCACTAATACAACGGAACAGTCTTTTGCTGGTTTGCTTTTTGTTTTCTTAGAAAATACTTCTTTTTTTAAATGTTTTTGTGTGGTTTGAGGGGTGGTTTTTGTTCATTTGTTTTCCTGCTCACAACTTTATCTGCTAAAAAGCTTAAACATCCCCCGCCCCCAATGTTCGTCCCCAAAGTCTTAAGTATGCCTTAAAAAAAAAGCTATTGTTTTAGGTTCTACTGAATTTTGGAGATTGATGTAGTAGCTCAGGCAGTATCTCCACAGCTTTCTGGCTCAGTACTAGGGTGAATAACACCCCTGTAACACCTGAAACTTTCTTCAAGGACTATGTCTTTAGCTTAAAGGATATAGACTAGATGATCTAACTGCTGTTTTTCTACTGTATCCTCTGACTTGAAAAAAATATCACGCCTAGAATATTCTTCCCTCTTATCCTTGCTTTTTTTGAATCGCTTAGTATGTATGACTTTGCTTCTGAGACAGTTGAGAGGTGTTGCTTCTTATTTTAATTACTGAAAAGGTCAGTTAGGATGCAGTATCTGAAACTCTGAAGGGCTGTGGACCTGAATGTTTGTCTCGCTGCTGTGTGCTCACTTACCTTCTGGCTCTGCCTAGCGTTTTCAGGGTGCCAAGCAGAACAGGTTCCCTGCAGTGTGTGCACTTGTGAAATTGCTGGGTCAGGGAATAACAACCCGAGTTAAGGGTTCTCTGAGACTGAGCAGTCCACTTTGCTCAGCCAATATCAACCAGTAAATTCAACACAGGGTTTTAAGCGACCTCAGTCAAAATCACTTTTTGAAAGGCTTATCTTTTTAGGTAATGCCATGTTGTCTGAAGACATCTAATTAAACATAATCTTTACTCAAATAGTATTTGTTAAATGAGTGAACTTGATAACACCCAGATGATAAAGTTGGCCGAATAGTCCTCATCCTCTAACCCCTGTTTGTCTCAAGTTGATTGAAAGCGCATGCATGCGTAGAGCGTTACAGATAATGTGTGGATACAGGGAACGAATGTTTGTGCATCACTGTTCCAGTGCAAACATTATTTTGTCTGCATCACTCCAAGCCTGGTCCTGAAGGTACAAGCTATTAACGAGATGCTCTTGAATACTTGATTTTTCCTATTTCTGTCAAGATGAACTGTCAACCAGCAGAAATGTTTTTCAGTTACTGTGTGGGTTTTATGATACTTTGGTGTTACGCTTCTTGCTTCCCCCTACCCCTAGAAGTAGAAAATCTTTTCCATGTTTTCTGCTGTCTTTATTTTCAGAAAAGAAGATAAATTGAAGTCAGCCATTCCTTTATTTTTCATGTTCTGCCTGTCCTGCTTCCATTCAACCTGTTTCAATTTCTCGGTATCACATTCATTACCTGTGGAACTCTCATTATTTTTCTCCTTTTCCCTAGACGGTTAACAGCCCTCTTAGCTTCCCCAAAGCCTTTCCCAATTCTACTTCTGTTATTAGTCCCATTTCCTGGTATGTCTTAATAGCACAATCTTACTTCTCTGTACTTCTGTCTTAGATACATTCCTTGATCTCCACTTCACTGAGACCTCAGGGAATATAGAGTATCAGTAAAATAAAAACAGAACAAACCAAACCCCACCCACATAACCAAACCATCTCTAGCTGTTTTCAGTTCCACTTGGCATGTATACTGAGTTATGTATTTGAACATTTGTGAGGACCCAGTGAAATGGGTGTCTCGTATTTATGAGAGACAGCTCACATTTGATTCAGGGCAATTTAATGCTTGGTTATTTCTTTTTCTGTAATGGTATGCTGGTTTGCTGGTGCAAATTCTGTCAATAACAGCACAGATCAGCTGCCCTGGGGGCACAGCTTTTAGATTTCTGGAAGAGCGAGCTGTGGAATGTAGTACTAATTATACTGATGATAATCTCATAGATGAGGAGCCACAAGTAGGAGGCCAGATGAGGGTTTAAGAAAAATAGTAATGGTAAAAGAAACAAAAAAATCAACTCAGAAAAGCATGGAGTCCTTCTTTTTTCCTCTGTTGACACTGTACTATGCTGCTGCTGTTTGTAGTTGAAATATACACCTCTTATTCCAATTGTAAAACGGCAAACACTTAGAAAGGTAGGAAGCTACCAGGCAGGGTTATGATTCTGAGTGAACTGTCTTTCTAGTAAGTTAGAAGTTGTGTCAGTCATCTTTTATCTAAATGTTTGGATTTAACTTCCTCTGAGAAGACATTTCGGGCCCAGTTTAGCACTGGGACAGTTGGGGGTTGGGGCAGTGTGGCATGGCACATAAGGACGTGTCTAATTTTACAAGTCATTTTACTGGCATATTTAAGGAGGTAAATACGGTGACCAGAAGTCTTTCCTGGAGAGGACAGAAGACTTGTCTGATACTCACTGAGGTGAAGTTCTGTTGAGTCATTGTGAAAATCTTAAAGAGATTTTTCAATGAATAGAATAGCTGTCATATGAAGGAAGAAAGCAACATAGAGCTAAGGCATTTATTTTGAACTTAAGAGTATCAGAATGTTACTGTGAGTATCTAACAAGATAGCTGATAAATCATGCTAAGTTCATGAAAATAGAGATGGTTCAGCAAGAGAGATGTGCTCCTAGTTGCAGAATAGCTAACTAATACTTTAGTTATTTGCAGTCTCTGAAAAATGCTAAAAGTTTTGCTTTAAGTCTTTGAAAGTCATTAATGTTAAGATCAGTTTTCCATACCATGGTCATCCAAAATTATAATTGCTGAGGCTTTATTGTTGGCTTAGGACAAATGTTTTGAAATATTTTTCTACTTCATATGTTTAAATCAGATATTTTTCTCTCCTTATGTACCAAGGTTGGATATTTTCGCCTACTCGTTTCCATCTTTGTCTTGAAGATAATTAGTAAATTAATAAATAGCTTCATGTTAATATTCTCCCCAATTAACATGTATTTTTTGTCTCTTTCATGACTCATTTTCTGTGGCCATCTTGGTGAACGAGCTTTATGGCA